AGTATGCTGACATGTCATCTAAAGAAAATGCAACACTTAGAAGTAATTGGTAGGTATATTTACATCCCAAGTGCTCCCAACAAACTGCCTGGGAATGAGGACTAAGAAAGGAGTCTGTCCTGATGTTACTACGCAAGGGGAGAGTGGGCAAGCCACAATGTCTTAAACTCTCACATACGGAATAGGCTGGATGCAGAAGAGAAAATATTTCTATTTCTTCAAAAGCCAATTCCAATTAACTGATAATGACCACCTCTGGGGCGTTTGCTGAGATGGTTAGATCCTTTTAGTAAAAAGGCAGATCCTGTGTTCCTTGCTCTCAGAAGTTGGGTGTTTGAGTTGCTAAAACTGACTTCCCATCAGAATGTTCACTGGAGCTGTTTTTCCAGCAGCAGCAACCTGACGCACATCCACATGCCTTCCTCAGTCTCGTTTGTGATCCGGGCCTGCAATTCAGTTCAAAGAAGGCTGCATAGTGTGGCTGCGTAACGGAGTACTTCCCTGATTTTGAACAGATAATAATACCTACCATGTGTATTAATGTTTAAGACAGCCAATACTGTTCTAACCACTTAACACATATCAATGCTTTTAATTTCCAAATAGTCTCTATCATATACATTCTACCATTATCATCCCCATTTTACAGATGAGAAAAGGAGGCACAACTAGGTGAAGTAACTTGCCCAAGGGTTTAACACGGGTAAGTAATAAAGCCAGAACCTGTTCACAGGCAGTCTGGCTCCAGATCTCCCACTTTTAACCACTTTGCTTACTGCTTCTCTGTCAATTGCACACTGACCAAATCCACAACTTCAGTCCTGTTAAACTACACACTGAGTGAGCCAGAAGTCCAGGTTTCACGGTGGTGTAAGTCTATGATTTATCCACAGTCCTGAAATATTTACACTCTCCAGAGGAGCCTGGATTCTGGCAAACAGTTCTTAATTTACCCATACCCGGGGGCTTTCTTAGATTATTGGGCAAATTTTTTTTAAACCAAAAGCTTCATAAATCTATCCCACCACATAAAATACACACTCCAGTTAGCAGAACCCTCAGGAAATGCGAGCTTTAGGGTTAAAGCAATGCTCCCATTAACAGAACATTTGTCAGAAAATCTGCACTGTGAAGGGAATTTTTGACAACTGGTCATTTTAAAGGGCTTTGCCATCATTATTCTAAACATCATTTCTTACAATACAGGAGTACAAAAGGCATATGGCCAATGGGATTTAACTGAATGGTAAATAATAACCATCCCTCAAGCATGCCTGGAAGTTGATTTTCTGAATACATACATTCTCCTGGGGGGCGGGGGAGGGATCCCATTTCCCAAGTGATTTGCTGAATACATAGTCTTATTAATCCTTACTAAAGGAGATGTAAACTTGGCTCAAAAAAAATGACTTCAGGGAACCTGGTTGGCTCAGTTAAGCATCAGACTTCACCTCACATCACAATCTCACAGTTCATGAGTTGGAGCCTCCCATCAGGCTCTGTGCTGATAGCTTGGAGCCTGTAGTCGGCTTTGGATTCTGTGCCTCCCTCTCTCTCTCTACGCCTTCTCAGCTCCCTCCCTCCCTCTTTGTCTCTCTCTCTCTCTCTCTCTCAAAAATAAACAAACATTTTTTAAAAAATGACTTCAAGGAGTAACAGTAAAAGGTAACTTTTAAAAGAATTTGTTATATACAAATTACACTCCAACGTGCGGATTATCTTCAGGGGCTCCCATTGCACACTTTTTCATATTATTACACTTCAGATCACACACGTTAAACAAACCAACCACTTGGCTGTTCTCCAAATTCAAAATGCATGGTATCACATGTAATGGGCAACTCTGTATCTTCTCTATTTCCGTTCCTGATATCAACAACATGATAAGAAATTTATATTCAGGCTTCTAAAATTTAAAATACAGCATAGGGGCACCTGGGTGGCTCAGTTGTTTATACGTCTGACTTCCGCTCAGGTTGCAGTTTGCAAGTTTGAGCCCCACACCAGACTCTCTGCTGTTAGCACCTAGCCCACTTGGGATTCTCTATTTCCCTTTCTCTCTCTGCCCCTTCCCTGCTCTTTCTCTCAAAAATAAAATAATAATAAAGTACAGTATAAAAATAAAACTACATATATAATAAATATTAAATGAACATTGAGAAATTTTGAAAGAATGGTAGCTCTTAAGAGGAAATCTGAAGTTTAAAAAAAAATATTCTAGTTGCTGAAAGAATGTTACTAGAAGTGGTTAAAAATTCTTTGTTTCCCAAAAGAGTAGCATGCACCCACATTATATAACATGCATGTACTACTGTTAATCTGTACCTTGAAGCTTTCTTACTTTATTATTTTTTTAATGTTTTATTTATTTCTGAGAGAGAGAGAGACAGGGTGAGCAGGGGAGGGTCAGAGGGAGAGGGAGACACAGAATCTGAAAGAGGCTCCAGGCTCTGAGTTGGCTGTCAGCACAGAGTGCGATGGGGGGGACCTCAAACCCACGAACCACGAAATCATAACCTGAGCCCAAGTCGGACGGTTAACCGACTGAGCCACCCAAGCGCCCCATACAAGAAAGTAACATTTTGAAAATCAGTCTTAATATTTTCTTCCAAATGAATCATCTTACACCCCACCTTTGAGACCCTAATACCTAAAAAAATTCATGATTTCTCATCTCCTATAGTCCCAAACGTAGAGCAACAAAATTAACCATTTTTCTATTTATAAATTGTTTTAAGTGAATTATCATCATTAAGAATTAGTCATTCTTTGGACCAATCCTCTACCCCCTCCACAAAGTTTGTTAACAATAGGGGCTGGCTGGTAAGATTGGGTCATTTTTTAAAAAATATTTTTATTGGGGCGCCTGGGTGGCTTAGTCGGTTAAGCGTCCGACTTTCGCTCAGGTCATGTACTCGCGGTTCGTGGGTTCGAGCCCCGCGTCGGGCTCTGTACTGACTGCCAGCTCAGAGCCTGGAGCCTGTTTCAGTCTGTGACTCCCTCTCTCTCTGACCCTCCCCTGCTCACGCTGTCTCTCTCTCTCCTAGAAATAAATAAAACATTAAAAAAAATAATAATAAAAAAAATATTTTTCTTTATTTCTAGAGGGGAGAGAGAGAGAGACAGCAGAAACTACCAGTGTATGCGGGCAAAGCCAAGGGCCAGTGAAAACTGAGAGGAAGTCACCTTGTGTGTCCTCGTAAAGAAGTTTTTACGAAGAACAAATTATGCTCACCTTCTGAAACCCAGAAACCACAGAACAACGAAGCCGCAAGAGGGAAACAAAAAAAAAAAAAACAAAGGTAGTCCATATTTTTATTACAATCTTGTTATTAGGTTACTCCTAGCTGTCAACTTCTCCCCGTTTTAGCTCTCTCCAGCACGAATCTAGTCTCAGGCAGTAGGTCATGAGGCCCGCCGCTCGGCGCCTAAACACAACCTCAGCACCACTTGGCCACTTCCTCAGACGCTCTTGCACTTCACCCGCTGGCTACCTGTACCGAAACAGACAACCCGGGCTGGGTCCCCTTCAGCCCTCTAAAGCAACCCCTCTTGAGTGCTCCTTGGCCTTTTATGGTGGAGACATGTGATGAGAGTATCTGCACCAGCTGTTCTTAATTACCTCTCAGGCTGGAGGGAATGACTCAGCAACCCAACTTTTTTAAGAAGTCATCATACCTTGTTACCCGACCAACATAGTGAACAATGGTAAACCACTAGACGCAGCCATGTTAAACAACAGGAATATACGAGGCCGTGCAGTCACCAAACCAAAGCCATCCCACTCAAGCTGACTCACCACGAGTCCTTTTCCCCCCAAGGCTCCTTCAGCCAAAGGCAGAAGTGGCAAGTGCCTTCAAGCCCAACCCAGCCCAGCCCTTGCACCACGACCCAACACCAGGAAGAAGCGAGCTTACCTCTTCCCATTTCTCTGCTTGACCATGTGAAGCGCTCAAGGGCTCGGTCACCAACACATCCCTTATCTTTCTGAACTGCTTTAAATGCACAGCCTCCACATGCACGGAATGTTAAAACAGATGAACAAAGACCCGGCACCGGCATCCTCCACAGGTAACAGTCCCAACACCGAAACATTTCTCCAAATAGATACGCATCCCTGCAAAACAGCCTTTGTTCCTTCACGCGCCACAGAGCAGCCTGTTTTTCCCACGCACGCCTTTCACAGTTACTACTACACGATACCCTGGGCAGCCCAAGCTGAACGCCGAAGGCTCGCTGCACAAAGGCATTCCTCGCAGTGCCCCTCGGTGACACAGAACCGCCGCGCGACAAGGAGAAAGCAATCGGCAACCAGCACAAAAGCCGGCGTCTCTAGACTCCGCACCCACCCTCGCCGCGGCGTGGGAGTCTTAATTACGCCGCGTGGGCAAAACTCCAACAAAGGCAGCTCCGGGATGTCCGGTCCTCCACGCCAATCTTGGCCAAACCCAGCCCCGCAAGCGGGCTAGTTCTGCTCCAGCCACGACCTCGGCCATTCTAAACGACACTCCACGCGCGACAGACCCCCGGGCCGGGCGGACCCGAGGCAGGCGGCTCTCGGGCCGCGGCGGCTGCGCAGGGCGGTGGGAGCCGGCGGGAGGGCAATCCGGAGCGGCGGCCGGCGGCGCGCGCGGTGCTGATGTGTCACAGCCCGGGCGGGCCGCGGCTCCGAGGGCAGGGCTGGGACCCGGGAGCCGGGGAGGCGGGGACGGAGGAGGGGGCGCCCCGGGGCCCCGCGCCCGCCCGCACTTCCCCGCCCCCCGCCCGCGGGGTAAAGTGCAGCCGGGGCCCGTAAACAACAGCGCCGGCCGCGCGCTCGGAGCGCGGGGCGCAGGCAGGCAGGTCGCCCCTTCCGGCGGACGAGGCCACTTCCAGGAACACGGGCCGCCGCCGCCCGGGTCCCCCTCCCCGCCTCCCCGGACCTGCCCGCGGGCGGCCCCGACCGCGCGCCGCCGCGCCGACCCTCCCGGGAAGGGCGCGCGGGACCCCGAGCCACTCACCAGAGCCGAGGCGCCGCGCGGCCCGACTGACTGCAGCGAGCGAGCCCGGCGGGCGGCGCGGGCAGCGGTCAGGTGACTCATTCCCTCCCCGCGGCCGGCCGCCCCCTTCCCTCCGCGGCCTTCCCCTCCCCTCCCCGTTCACCCCTCCCCTCAGCCGCCGCGGCGGCCGCCGCCACTTCCCAAGGCCTAGACCCCTCCCGTCCCCCCGAGGCCCCGCCCACCCCGCGCCGCTAAGCCCCGCCCCCGCCGGAGACCCCGCCCCCCACTCGAGGCCCGGCCCCGCAGCCCGCGAGGCCTCAGTCGGCGCGCTGGGGCCCGCGGGGCTCCCAGCGGCTGTAGCCGCTGTCGTGGCTCCACCCGCCCGGGGCCCACGCGAGAGGTCGGGCAGAAAGGAAGAGGCTGACGGCCTCCTGGCCCCAAGTGTTGCCAGGACGCTCGGGATCGAGCGAAACGGCCGCGACCCCGGAGTCCCGCGGACAGCAGGCGGTCCCTCCCCGGGCCCCTCCTCTGCGGTCCCTTAGGGGCGCCTTCGGCTGGGCGTCCGGGTGCCGAAAGCAGTGTTTGAGCTTGCTGATAGGACGTATCGAGTGCGTCCAGGATTTTGTGGAAAGCATCTGGCAGCCCTAGTTCTTCTGTCTGACAAAGAAAACAAGGGCGTTCGGCTAACAGGTGTTCCCTCCAGGCTGCGGCTGCCAGGGGACTGGGAGCCAGGTTCAGCGCCCCGCGGAGTCGGCCGGCTCAGCTCTAGCCCGCCAGGGTCGGGCTTTCCTCCTCCGATGCTTATCTGGTGTTCATCCAATTGTCAGTTTTAAAATGACGTTCCCCGGCCAGTTAGCACCTCCGGAGTGCAAAGCACTGTCTGTGCGAAAAGATGTACACGTGTCAAAGCCCAAGCTTATCAATCGAGAGAGAGAGAGAGAGAGAGAGAGAGAGAGAGAGACTGAGCACACAGAGACTGCGCCAGCCAACCTGATTGGAGTTCAGGTGACCTGTGCAGAGGGATTTTGCTGTTGGCCTTGAGTTTAAGTGGAGAGAAAGAGGAGATGGAGAGAAATTGGTAGCTGCAGAGCAATAGCACCCGGGTTCATTCTGGAACCCAGGAGGGCAGCTCTGGAGCTCACAGGGCAAACAAAGTTAGCGAGATAATGAAGTCAGGTGTTATCACTAACATGACTGCGGGGACTTTTGTACTCACAGGTCGGGGACTTTTGAGTTACATGCAGAACATGTGAGAAAGTGGCCTAAGTGCAAGGAGTGACGTGATTCACGGTGACCTCGAATCAGAGCAGGAGGTGACATTTGCATTGAGTCTTAACCAGGAAGACTGGGGTCCCTCAGTCCCTGGAAGGAACAGCATATGCAGAGGACTGGAGAGGCAGATGGATTCCAGGCCGCCAGAGTTCATGTGGCGGCACAGATATTCACTGAGACATGAGGAAAGGACATGGATAGACCATGAAAGGATTTGGGTTCTTCCACACGTGAGAGAGTTTTTAAGGCTTCACTCTCCTTCCACCCTAAGCCAGTGAAATTATAGTATTCTTCTTTCCTCTCACATTTTTACAGTTTCTTCTAGATGAAGAACAGATCCGCCCGCTCGGGAGGAACTCTTCCTTCTTTACTCTAGATAACGGTGGTGATATTTTCTAGCACAACCACTGATATGCTTCAGTATTTGAAAAGTCTTACAAAGGTGTTGGGAATACCAAGACAGCTAGGAATGACTCTCAAATTTTAGTGTATGTAAGAATCTCTGGGGTGCTTGTTAAAATGCAGATTCCTGGGTCCTGCCCCCCAAATTCTGATTTCATAGGTCTGGATGGTACGCCCAAAACCTGCATTTTTAATAGTGATGCAAGTGGTCTTTAAACCACACTTGAGAAGTACCTAGTGAGAGCTAATGGTGTAGAGTAGGTATAGGGTAAAAATTAAATTGGAGAATGAGATAAAACCAAGTCAGAATGGGCCTCATACCCTGTGCCTAGAGTTTGACCTTTATTCCATGGACTGAAGGGAGCATATAGAGATCTCTAAGTCATGTGATTGTTTCTAGAAGCTAATTCTAGAGAACATCATTCACTCCATTTCTGTTGCTTTAGCTCCTTTCATCTTTAAAACTTCTTGAGCTATCCAGTCAACAAAATTTGGGAGGTCAAAAAAATAGGCTTTAAACTGTGGGTCAATGCCATGGTTAATAAACAGAGATCTCACCAACTTGAAAAACTACCCATTGACACTTCTTCCATCAAAAGGGATTATGACTGAAGCCATACCTCCCATAACCCTGGTTGGAAGATTTTTGTGGGAAATGAACATATTTTATTAAAAATCAACGAGGACTTCCTGGAGCAGCATGGACAAACATACCCTAGTGTTTCCCTGATATCTGATATGAAAGGGAAAGTGAAGAGAGTGTAGCCTCCAGCTTGAGATGTGCACAAAGTCTAAGATTAAAAAAAAAAAAAGGCAGAAAAAGAAGACAGTATTGGAGAAGAACTCAGTGGGACAAGGGCCACATTGGTGAAAGCAGTGCTTTCCAGAATCCAGATATAATGACAACCAAAGAGACTCTACGTAGAATCCCAGAGTGGAAAAATTCTTGTGCCTCCAGAAACCAATTGAAGAGTGTGGTGGGCTAAAGATGGCTGTGAAATATGTGTCACTCTCCTCGTCAAGAACGGGAGTTTCTTTTTCATCCCCATAAATCTGGTCTGGCCCTGTGACTGCATAGCCAAGAGAACACGGCGATAAGTTATGCTCTGCCAGCTCTGTATGGAGTCTTTAAGAAGACTGGAATCTTCCACTTACTCTTTCCTGAAATGATCTTTCTTGAGACACACCTTCTCAGAAAGAAGCCCCCATCCTGTGAACAAGCCCAGTATGGACCTCTCCAGTCAATAGCCCCAGCAGAGCCACCAACCAGTAGTCAGCATCAGTTGCATCCTGTGAGTGAGACATCATGACATTCTGGTATAGTCTAGTTTATGTGACTAGCAACCCCAATCACAATGCCCTTGAGGCTGAACCCAGTCAACTCACAGAATTATAAGGTAATAAAATGAGTATTCTTTTAAGCTGCTAAGCTTTTGAGTGGTGTGGGTAAAGAAACTATCTGATGGTGACCTAACGCCTGAAAATGTAGTTAAATTTGTAAGAAAAATCACAACCCCAAAGATCAGGATGTAGAGGAAAGTTCAGATCAAGAAAACAAAATACATGCAGGAGACTTTACTTATAAACCTATGTCAAGTTCCCTGACTTGACACTTAAAATTTCCCGCAATTGCAGATCAGTGGTGTCCCAAATTTCCCTCACTCTGTTGCAAATATTTATATAACGAAGTAGAGAAAATGTTATTCTCCCAGAAGCTAATGCTGGACATTGTACTTAAAATTAATTAATTAATAACTGAAGTTACTAAAAATGTTTGATGCAAGTGCCTTCCTGTGGAGCCAGTGATGTTGGTGCTAGGTGCTGAGTCAGAAAGAGCACATACAGAGCCTTCAGCCAAGGTCACATGTCTGCAAAGAACAGAGAAAAATCCGGCCTGATAGCTTTGCTGCATGTATTCGTTGATACTCTCCTCAAGAATTGTGTAGCCTGCAGTTGTTGATCTTTTATCTTTAATATTCATGCAAGTATTAAATCCTACTCCATAATATATTTGTTTAAATAAAGGTATCCTCAAAATTATATATATTATTTATATAAATATGTATGCATATATTTATATATACAAATATGTATATATATATATATTTAGTAAAAGTGACATAATTGGTAGAGGTGCTATTTTTAACTCTTAGTTTAGCTCACCTCTGGTCTATGCCACTTTATTCATCTAGAACAGTGGTCTTGACAAAGGCCGATTTTGCCTCCCAGTAAATACTGGCGTTAACAAGGAAGAGAGGCATATCTAGTGGATAGAGGCCAGAGATGCTGTTAAACATGCTACAATGCACAGTACAGTCCCCATGGATAAAAATGCTTTATGAATAAGGACACTGCATTCCCCGTACACGACAAAGAATTCTCTGGCCCAAAGTGTCAGTGATGCAGAGGTCGAGAAGCCCTGACCTAGATGTACTCATGCTCCAGTATGAGAAATGTGTATATATCCTTGATAAAGATGAGCTACCGAATTTTCTGTAGCTCCCTAACAGCCGGGTTAAAAAGGAAACCTGACCAGTCAGTAGTGATAGCTAGGGGTTAGGCTGAAGGGACCACAGTGAGAGAAAGAAGTATTGAAATCCTTGAGAAGAGAAAATGAGCACAGGCTGTGGGGACCCACTTCATACCAGCGCCCATCACAGCAACCTGTTCCCAGGACGGGGCTACTGTATGTAGGAAGTACTTTGGAAATGGAGTAGAATGATGACTGACCTCTGAGGGTTTTTTTTTTTAATTTTTTTTTTTTTTTGAGAGAGAGCACAAGCAAGTTGGGGAGGGGCAACAGGGAGGGAGACAGAGGATCTGAAACAGGCTCTGCACTAAGAGCAGAGAGCCTGATGTGGGGCTTGAGCTCATGAACCATGAGATCGTGGACTGACCTGAAGTCAGACACTTAACCAACAGAGCCACCCAGGTGCCCCAAGCTCTGAGATTTAAAGGCTATAAAAGGAGACCTATTGGATCAGATGACAAATAGGTATATCACCATAAAGAAATAGAATTGTCACTTGGGGCTGCTGGATTTTCACTCTTGGCCACTCCAGATTCCCTCTCTAGCCTTCTCCACCATGCTCTGTGCTGCAGGAGGAAAGTTTCTAGGTATAGGGTCCATGCATTCCCCCACTTCCTTACTTCGGGTTGTATTGAGACAATGGGAGCCATTAGTAGGAACACAGCTGTTTCCTTTCTGGGCCACATGTTGGCTGTCACTATATTCCTCTACCAAAGACCTCAGCTCTTGTTAGACAACCTTCACCTAGAGCTACAGCCAAAGCAACATCATTCTAGGAGCAATGATGCCTCCCCACTTTGTTTAGCCACAGGGTGCACCACTGTCCCTTGGCAAGTTACCTGTCCTCACCCTAGTAAGTGGTCCCATATATTTCTCACCGGTTCCCTGACTGATTCA